CGAAGCTACGAAACCTTCGATATTTTAGGAAAAAAGTTTCCGGACCGTGCCTTCTCTCGAGGTCGTGATCACAATTGGCCATCGAGATTTTTAAATTCAACACCTTCCGACTTCTTCCTTTACGACTAAGTGAAAGACAAGGTCTACACCAAGAGGCCAATGTCAACTCAAGTCCTCAGAGATGGAAATTATGAAACTATTAAGGACATACCACAGCCATTTTGCGATTTGTTGGTAGAAATTTCATAAAAAGCATAAAGTAATGTAAGCGTAGTCGTGACGGCAATTGGGATGCTAATGTTCTCTGGTGTTAATAGCATAGTATGTCTATTTCTTTATATAGTTCTCTTTGAATAATAAAGTACCACCTCTTATTGATAAACCCTGTATTTAAAAATCTTCTATACAAGTTTTTGTCATTGAACTTCTATCCTAGAATTAGGTGAAATTTTGTGTATGTGCAAGTGGATATAATCATAGATTAGGTTGCACTTAACTCCTTGATTTTTGTTCTCTTAACAATTTAAAGCACGCATTCGGGCTCTTAACCACTGCAGACTGAAAATCCTTGCCACATCTTCTACTGGCCCTCCCGCATTTGCTACCCTCAACCACGCGAAATTGGAAGGAATGCGTTGCCAATAGGCAATGAGCTCTTAGCAACTTTACTAGCTGCCTGGAGTTAACCTTATTGCCACTAGTTGAAACTTAGTAAGATTTTTGCTCTGTATTTTTGCTATATTACAGTTGGATCTAGTTTTATTTCCCCTAATTGTACTGAAAAATTTTAAAAATTTATAAAGTGTTTTTATTTTTAATTTTCAAATTTAAAAAAAGAAAAATTTAACTAAAAATTATATTAAAATTTTATTTTTACTACAAAACTATGGCCTGAAACTCCAGTCAAAAATGTTTACTTTTAAGTTGATTAGAAAATTTTCAGTTAAATTTTGTTATTAAAAATCAATCATCCAATGCAAAAAAAAATATATTTTGTTTCATTACAAATTTTAAAAACATGTGAAGTGAAAGGCAATAAGTCTACAGCTAACAGTTTTAGAAAAATTTAGAAAAATACCTCTAAAGCAATAAAAATTGGCGGCTTATTTGGTATATTGAACAACAATTTTTGCTCCCTTAATTAATACAAAATGTGTGTAAGCTTAAAAAGCAATGTTTTTATTTTCAAAAACTGTAAAACATAAAATTAAATGGATGTGACCGCTCCAAAAGTCACCATTAACGTTAATTATATATTGTACGTAAAATCTTTAAGTTTATTAAATTTCTCCTTTTTTCATATTCTCCGCTTTTCACTTTCGCATTTCACCAGTTTTCGGCATGTTTGCAGGTGAGAGCCGACATCTAGAGTTATTACATTTTCTATAAATATTAAATTACACAAAAATGTGAACAAAATATTACCTAAAGTATTGATTAGTATAACACTTACTTAAATTAAAAAAATATATAAAAAATTAGTTTGGTATAATCTTTTTGAAGTCAATGAAAATTAACATTTTACTAAAATTAACTTTGATTTTTTATTTTGCCTTCCGATAAAAACAAATTAAGTTAAATAATTTCTTTTTGGCTTTGTTAGTCTCGGTGCCCTCGACGATATTTAACATTTTTATCTTTTATGATTATCTCCCTTTTTTTTACTACTTTACGCTTTCATTCGATTTTGCCGTATTTGTTGTTGTTGTTGCTACTCCTCCTTGAGCAGTGCCCTATAGTCCGTATGATCATAAATGAGAAGAAAAGGAAAAGTAAAAATATTATTGCAGGAAAGTTGAGTACTTATGTACATGTATACTCCTTATATACGTCTGTATATACATAAGTAATGTGGTTAACACCTGCGTTCCATAAGCGTCATATAAGTATACATATGTACGAGTATGTAAACTCATCTATAAACCTTTGTCGTCATATGCCGCTAGACACTTGCCAGGTTTTACATACGAGTATGCGCTAACAACTTCATTTCCAGAAACTTACACACATACTTGAATATACATACATATATAATACTAATATGCTTACATATGTACTATATTTTAAACCATTTTTTAATTTTTCTCTGCTTCAACTATTTCTTGGCGACAAGTGCAGCAATTTTTCTATGCAGACGTGTATCTCAGCATATATATGTGCATATATATATTTATCACTGCATTCCTCAAGCATGGCTACGCGCTCACTCCAGTTTTTATGCTACTCTCAAGTAGTCCTTACGTTATATGCCACTCCCTATTCCCTTTTGTGGTGAGTTTCTTTTACTGAAGTTCTTTGCTGAAAGCCTCAACTACGCAACGCTTGTCTAATTGCCAGTTGCCGTGTCGTTGAAAGTGACTTTTACTCTACAGCGTCATACCTTTTGGGTGTGTATGTATGTGTACATGCAATTTCTGCATTTACACTAACAAAACTATACAGATGCCACATATGTATGAACGAAACATTAAACACATTTCAGTCATTATCATAGTTACACTTACACATGTATACAAGCATAATTACTTCATAGTGTTATATATGTATGTATGTATGCGGGTGTAAGGACGTGATTGTGTGTGCTGAAAGTGTTCGCCTCGAGAATTATATAATTATGATTAAGGTGTATTTCACACATATGCATATACTCGTATGTGTGTTTAAGTACATTTCCTACGATCTTCGGTTAAAACATTTTCTTATGAAATAATTTGAAACTGTTAGGCGGTTATTTTTCTGGTATTTTAAAGAGATTACGTTGCAATTGTGGGATGTTAGTTGGTGAGATTTTTTTTATTTATGGGAAGTGCTTAACATTTTTTTCGTGTAATAATTCCAGACTCCCAGTTGAAAAGCAGTAGTGGGGCTACTAGCAGTAAGATACCGCTAAATTCATTATTTCTTTAACTGCGATTTTCGAAATATGAAATTGTAAATTCAATTAAAAGTCACTGGTTTTTAAATCTGGCTCAATATATTTTCCTTAAATTCACTTCTTCCGCGTTGCTTGCTACCTGTCACATCATACTAAGTAATACAACTCTGTATTGATATGGAATTTCTCCTTAACATACTTTTAGTTCTACGTACACTGAATATTTATTTTTAGTCTTAGAATAAACGTCTTTATATAGAAACGTGTTTTCCTTATTAACGATTCTCAGCTCTCCCCCCAACCGGAACCAATCTTAATAATTTTAGTATTTTTTTAACATTGAATTTATATTACAATCTATTCTACATAAATAAATTAAATAAAAATAAAATCGGAAAAAATTCCAACGCTGCCGAACCTCGTGATCACGGTAGCTAATTGTCAGCGCCAAGACGTGGGATTACGCCTCTCTAAAATTTCATATGACTATGATGCTCCAAATTGACCGTGACAGTCTTGCCGCTGTCGTCTTCAAAGTAGCGAAGTCCAAACACACCGCCGAACCTAAGAGCGCAGTAGACTGTAAGTTTTTTATTCAATTACTTAACGGTTCTCGAAAAAGTAGCAGATTTTTAGAACGTCGAGAATTAGGCACATTCGGGTCTTTGGCTACACTTTTACTTACTGTAGCGATATTTGAAGTGGAACGAACAAAACGAAAATGCATAGGCTTTACAATATCTGTAAATGATTAAGACTTTTCCAAGATTCTTTAAAAATTTTCCAAATAATTGAATAGTTGGACGATTATGCGCTTCTATTAAAGCCGTTTTGATAGTGCATTTTAACAATTTTAACGCGTTGTCCGGCTGGTAAGTGATACATTTTCATATATGTCTGATTTTTAATCTAACCAATTATGTTTGACAATCTTCATAACAGAACGCTGTATTTTTGAAATCACGAAACCTTCATTTAAGGAAGTTTCAGCTTAAAGCAACAAATGGTGATGGCGTTTCCGCCATATTTAAAGAAAATATTTTCGAGGTACATCTGGTAGGGTTTTGGAGCCAGCATTTTCGACGCTGTCAGTCAAGCTGTGAGCCGAGAAGATTTCTAAACATTTATTACATAATTTTTTTTTTATTAGAGTGCTTGACGTCAGCGCGTAAGCTTACAAATCGCGTATTTCATTGAAATCCCTAAAGTCCTTAATTATGCCAATCAACAGATATGTGTCGTATATGCGCATATATACTCACTCACAGAGCCAATTAATTAACCAAATGGATTTGAGTTTATCAGCAAATATTTTAGATATTCGAAAGTCAATGCGGACAAAGCTATGTGTATTAGGGTGAAACGTTGAATTTGAAAATACGAAATCAATGGAAAATTTAAGGATTGCAAATTATTAAACTGAATTTAATTGAAATTAAATGTTAGTGAATAAAATGTCAAAAACAAATACATTTCAGCAAGAAAAACAAATTAAGAGATATCAAATTTTATTTCTTCGTAAACAAATCCAGTTATTTTTTTAATTTATTTACATTTAAATATAAAATAACCACTTTGCTTAGATGTAGTAAAACACCAAATAAAAATAAATTTTCTTGGTGTTTAAAAAAAAGGGATGAAAAATTTTACAACACCTAATAAATGTCTAAATAAAGTTTTTCCCCTAGTGTTTCAATTTATAACAATAAAGACGAGTATATCGCCTAAGCCTCAGACATTACAATAAATACATAGGGGCATACATACTAAATTACTTGAACAGCTGTCATTAACAATGATAGCAGCACATTTTGGCGCCTTAATGGCATTAATGACTGGCAGATGATTTTGAAAGCCTCAGATAATAAGCCATAATTGTAATGGGAAATATTAGTATATATATAGTATATATTAGTATATATATAAAAATTAACATTTGAATCAATTCATAAAAAATAACTTTTATTTCATATAAATATCAATTACTTCCTGAAAGCGCTATATTTCGTTAGTAGTTATTAGTTAAGTGCCAACTAAATTAAATAAATTAAATATAATTAAAAAGCAATAACAATACTCAGACTACTTTTCTTTCCTTCTCTCCCCCCTCTCTACCCCTACACAGATGGTTACCAAAATCAGCAATGCGGCCAGTGGGGCCTGATGCCTCGCACACCGACTGTATACTGGTTGTTGGTGTCTCCCGTCCGAAATTAGCTGTAGTTTTTCTAACAATTATGTTAATCTCATTATTCCTCACCTTTCATGTGCTCTACGATAGCGCCGTATATAATATACAAGCCGCACAGGCCATAACCGAACGTCATCGATTGCGTCTGCTGAGTAGCGCCAACGGTGGTAGTGGTGTTGTTGGTGTTGGCAGTGTCACTAGTAATATGAATAGCAATCATTTACCGGAATTCATTAAACCTGCCGCTGCAGCGTTGGCCGCAATACCCTCCTCGAATCAGATAAGTCATCCAATGGTGTTTCCTTCGAATCGTGTGCATTTCCCTAAAACGAGTCGACGTTTGCCGCAGGTGAGTGAATACAAAAGAATGTCGAAAAAAATGGATGTATATTTTTTATTACCTTTTTTAGTAAACATTTTTGTTATTTTAAACTATCTTAAGGTAATTTTAATCTATTTTATTCTTCTTCATTTTATTTTATATTATTTAAATTAATTTTTTTTTATTTAAATTTATTTTTAATTATTTCGGTTTATTTAAATTTAATTTTTTTATTTCATTATTTTATTTATTTGCTTTTATTTAATTTTATGTTGTTTTATTTTACTTGATTTTATTTTATTATGTTTTATTTTATTTGTTTAATTTTATTTTATGTTGTTTTAGCTTACTTTATTTCACTTGATTCTAATTTCCTTTTTTGAGTTATATTAATTTTATTTTTTTATACAATTTTTTTTAATTTAATTAAATTTTTTTATATTTTTTTTAATTTTATTCTATTTTATGTAATTTTGTTTTATTTAGTTAAATTTTCTTTCGTTTTATTTTATTTTATTCTTTTATTTTCATTTAATTTTCTTTTATTTTCCTTAAATTTTATTCTGTGTCATATTATTTTACTTTATTTTATTCTATATATTTTTTTTATTTTTTTCTATTTTTTTAATTTTATTTTACTTTATATTGTTTTATTTTACATATTTTTTTTATTTTATTTTATTTTTTTTATTTTTTTATATTTTTTTATTTTATTTTTTTAATTAAATTTTTTTTTTATGAAAAGTTTTTTTATTTTATTTAATTTTTTTTATTTTTTTTTTAACTTAATTATTTTATTCTAATGTTAATTTTTCTTATATTTTAAATTTTATTTGATATTTAGTTCATTTTTTTATTATTTTTTTATTTTATTTTATATTGTGTAATTTATTATGTTTTATTTAATCTTTATGTAAGAAATGTCTTAAAACTATGTCCATTAAATTCAATTAAAAAAAAAAAATACTTCCAGGCCCTCATCATCGGTGTACGAAAATGTGGCACTCGTGCTCTCCTGGAAATGCTCTATCTCCATCCTCGTATACAAAAAGCTGGCGGTGAAGTACACTTTTTCGATCGTGATGAGAACTATATGAAGGGTCTGGAGTGGTACCGAAAGAAAATGCCGCATTCTTTTCGTGGACAAATCACGATTGAGAAGAGTCCGAGCTACTTTGTGTCACCGGAGGTAAGTGAATTAAAAGTTATGTAGAAGTTTTTTTTAATAGTTTTTCAAAAAAGTATTTAAATGACGCACTACAATTGGATTGCGTGGGCTGGAGTTCAATTTTTACATTTTTCTCTAAGTTGGCTTGCTATATCACAGAATCTTCCATATTTTTTCTCAAAAGCTTTTATAATAGATTTAAAATTTTTTTTCTATTAATTGACTTTATTTGTTTCTCTTTTTTTCTGATTTATTTCGCTGCTTTCTTATTGGTTTGCAAACTTTTGATGTTTGAAATTAAAACTGTACATTTTGTTTGTGGTCTGTATTGTCTATGTGTGTATGTCTTCAGAGCATATTTTGTGCTTTTGCAAAGTTGAAAATAACTGTTAATTACTAAGTAACTTTTTGATTGCTTACCATTTTTGTGTCACTCGTAAACAAAGTTGTTATTTGGAAAATTGTAGTTTTTCTATTTAGTTAATTGGGAAGTATTACTTCCAGTTTATTTTCTATAAATTATTATTGATTTTCACACCAAAAGATATTTTGTTACCATATTTATATAGCTATAACTATATATTATATATAAGTATGGGGATGAGTATGCTATAGATGATGTAAAGTGAGAGAAAATATATTAGAGGGGATCAGTACTTAACTGTATATCGAAAAAATAAGGTAATTATTGTTAATTTAAATGACGTGTAATGTTATGTATGTATATCTTCACATCAAAATAATGGCTACTCCTGAAAAGTTTTTAGTTCTCATTTATTTGTATATATACGTTTATACCCAGGGGTGTTTGCTTAACTTACAAAGGCTCGTCGCGTCGCAGAAACACAACTTACAGATTTTTTAAAAAAACTTTGAACTTTATATAAACTGAAAGCTATTGAAACAATGAAGCTATTACTGTGAACCAGCGGTGTTAAATTGCGAGATCTGAGAGCCCACGCCACATCCCAACTACCCGAGATAATGCGCTCACCAATAGTTTCCAGCTGCAAATTGATTGTTTCGTTGGCTGTGTGGCATGGCCAAATTCGACAATTTTTTTTATTAACGCACCCATTAAACCAAAAGTGTGCTTCATTGCTGAAACAATTGTGAAAATCGGAATCCATAAAGTGGACACAGCTTCAAGCATTACGCGCTATATCCGATGGACTCAATTGTGTTTTCTTGGATACTGTACTCCATATCAGAAAAGGGGTATTCGGTGGGCACTGCATGGCATCTGAACGGATGCGCATTATTCACAACATTAAATTTTGTGCAAAGCCCATAAGAACTTTGCACGATTTGCAAACGTTTTTTTATGTTGTTCTGCTTACTAAGAAATGGCATATCAAACTGAGTATTACTCAAGCTGTCAAAAAGACCAAGAAAAAGAATTTCCTCATTGAAAACTGCAAGTCTGAAAAACACACCTTGCTTTGGAGGCACAATGATAAACCATTCGTACCAAAGGCGAATTATAAATGATCTAAAAGAGACTGTGATTTCGTCTATTTTAAAGGATAAAGTCAACTCATGGTATGCTTTAGCACAAAAAAGGTACTACAATTAATTCTAATGATAATAATGTTCTTGGATTTTTTCCGAAATATTTCGGATCAATTGGTTATCATTATAAGATCCGTCTAATGGTCAACTGAGAATGTCAGCTTGTCATAGAAGTCGTGTCTTCGGAGGCAGCTCAAAATAAACCCTTCCTTTTTTGGGAAAACAACAAGATGCATACAGTCAATTGGAAGAGGAGGTAGGTCGAGAACCGATTCGGCGGTTATTAAGTGCTATATTTAATAGTTTTTGTTAGTCTCAGCTTATCTTTTGGATATTGTTCTTTGGAGCGCTTGAACACATGGTCCCAGCACTTTATAGTACACACTGCTAACTCGGCTATTGTAATCACCATACTCAACACTTTTACATACATATATTGTATCCTTTTTTTATTAATTTCCCCTCAAATTTTAGTACAACCCACAAGAAGACTAAAATCTTAAAATTGAATCCAGTGTAAATTAATATTACGTAGTATTAAAAACATTTTTTATTATATTTAAAAAAATGTAGTTAATCTGCTGGCAATAAAAGTGCGTAAGTTTATTATTAGTCAAGTGTTTCTTGTTTAATTTAAAATTCCCAACTATTTTAAACCAGACACCCCACTACACGCACAATACTAACTGCAACGCTTAACACATTTTTGTACTTATCTTTCGAGCAACAACCAACAAAATCCACTCAAAATCAGCGCTGTAGAAATTTCGTGCTTTAATATTTCAGTTTATAATTAAAAATATCAATTTTTTTTCTTAATTTTTTCCCGACCAACTCAAAGCGTGCACATATATATGCGTTTATAAACACATAAACAAATAAAGAATCTGAAAAGTGAAGGGGGGAAATAATATTTGAAATTCACTGACCATCAGCATTTAAACCTGCCACAAACATCTTCTTCGCATATACATATACATATGTATACCGCATCTGTATTCGCAGTCAGGGTGTGTGTATAACTATTACTCATATTGGCGCTTGCAGCAAGCCGCATTGTATACCATAAATTGCACTTTGCGAAAGGGCTGCATTTGTGTGCACATATGTGCCTGTGTATGTGTGCGTGTGTGTGTGTGCGTTTACAAAGTGTCTGTTGCATGCATCATTAAAAATGAAACGAAAATTGCTGACTTAACTGGACAACGGAGTGAAATGGGTGAGATAGAAAAATGTATAAATATATTTATTTATATATATATATGTATATATGCCTACATATGCATATACATACATACATACATAAACAAACATTAGGGTATACATTATGGCTGTTAAATTGAGCTCATACTCCTATTTATGGTGTGAGTACCACTCTCGTAGTGCAGCAGGGCGTATACGTGACATTATTAATTATAGCCAAAAAATTACATTCAAAATTAACTCTGACTAAGTGCGAAAAAAGTGAATTTACGATAAAATTACTTAGGTTCACCTTTGAAGAATATGCAATTTGCTATAATAATATCAAATTGAGCACTTTCAATATTCATATTCAATGTGTGAAACGGTATTAAAGTAAAAAAGGTCTACATTTTTTAATTAATTTGTGATGTGCAATTACTTATATTACCTTTTTTGATTACACTGTAATGCTAAGAGGCGTTCAGAAAAAAAAATATATTTAGCATACCCTCCTATCCACGTAATGAATTTCCTATTTTTTTTAAAGAGTATATGTAAGTGGAATGGCAACTAGTTGGATTGGGCGTTTACAGAAAATTATACAGCACACAAAACTTCAGCTAAAAGAGAATTTCAAATGTAACCAGACGTAAATACATAGCTACACACTTATAAATACGCTTGTAAACAAGTCGCCAACATACAAAACTGCCAGGCAACGCCAACTGTATATACAGCAAGCCAACGCGGCTGACGGCATGCCATTGCAAACACACACAGCTTCGCAACAATGAAAAAAAAAACGAAAAATGTGAAAAAAGAAATTTAAATGACTGCACTGAATGGCATAGTGAGCGCAGTCAGTGTGTGCATAAATTCTATTTATGTATACATATGTGCACATAAGTGCCTATGTGTAAATGGGCTTATAAAAAAGAAGCATCTGTTTGGCGAGAGGAGCAACAGAAGTTGTCCAGCTTTTTTTCATTTCATCGCTGGCGTTGTCCATTTGTGGCGCAAAAATTGAATTAATACAAATAAAGCACTCATATACAAACGGGCGGTCAGTTGGTGAGTGCATTGCGCACTTACAGCTCGCAAATGTGTAAATGTGTCGTGTGAGTGAATGAAAAAATTAAAGGAGAATGCGAAACGGCATTATGCATAAACAAGTTGGAATTTAAAAGTTTAAACGAATTTGAGCAAGAGAGTTTATTGCAGCGTGAGATGCTTTTTTTGGTAAAGTGTGTTTAAGCACCTTAAATAAATATCTATTTGAAGCAAAATATCCTATAAGGGAAAAAGGATAATGTGTCTAGCTCTTTTGCTACTACTAAAATCACTAAAAATTCACTCATACTAACTACCATGCTCAACTTCAATTCATCCTTACCCTTCGGAACCGTTGTAAGGTTCCTTTCCGCAAATAAACTTCAGTGCTTGTGACTGACACCTTTACAAAGTGCGACGGTGCTGTATATCAAAATTTTATGCATTCTGAGAAATTATTCACTAGATGGTAAATTGAAAATGGAAATGATAAATTTTCCATCAAACGAAGCCACGCAAGTGATTGAGAATGTAGCAAAAGAATCTTCTTGAGGTTCTACTAAATATATGCTTTTGCAAACGAGCCCTGTGTGTGATGACAAAATGACATGATGAGCACAATAAAATAAAATAAAATAAAATAAAATAAAATAAAATAAAATAAAATAAAATAAAATAAAATAAAATAAAATAAAATAAAATAATACAAAATGAAATGAAATGGAATAATGTAAAATAAAATCAAACAAATGAAAATGAAATCAGTAGAAAGTAAAAAAAATAGTACAAAATAAAGTATTCAAAATTGATTCAATAGTAAATTATTCGGCCATTGACTTTTTGAATAGCATCAGAGTATGAAACTTTTCGGCTACTTGAATTAATTTTTTTAATATTTTGTTTAGAAGATATTTTCCTTGAGTTTTTTCTTCTACTTACCTTATAATTACATTAAGTATCAGAGTAGTAAAAAGTTCATACAAGCAAAGTTTATCTCACTACAACAAAAGCCATAGTGGATAAATAGTGTGTAAATCAAGCAGAGAGTATTTATCTAACTTTCTCGTCACACGCTGTCTGCTGTTAGAAGCAAAAATATGTTGGTTGTCAGTTTAGTTAACGCAAAGCAGCAGAAAGTGGAAAACGCTGTTGGCCATAGCTGTATTTAAGAAAAATAAAGTTGAAAAGTTTTTGAATTCCATCATAATATGAAAGCAATAGCTTCCCGCTGAAGCATTTATTAGCACACACTAAACACCCTCGGAAACTTACTT